CAGAAACTCGGAAATTCAGAAATTCAGAAATTCGGAAATTCAGAAATTCGGAAATTCAGAAATTCAGAAATTCAGAAATTCAGAAATTCAGAAATTCAGAAATTCAGAAATTCAGAAATTCAGAAATTCAGAAATTCAGAAATTCAGAAATTCAGAAATTCAGAAATTCAGAAATTCAGAAATTCAGAAATTCAGAAATTCAGAAATTCAGAAATTCAAAAATCTTGAATCTCAGAAATTCAGAAATTCAGAAATTCAGAAATTCAGAAATTCAAAAATCTTGAATCTCAGAAATTCAGAGATTCAGAAATTCAGAAATTCAGAAATTCAGAAATTCAGAAATTCAGAAATTCAGAAATTCAGAAATTCAGAAATTCAGAAATTCAGAAATTCAGAAATTCAGAAATTCAGAAATTCAGAAATTCAGAAATTCAGAAATTCAGAAATTCAAAAATCTTGAATCTCAGAAATTCAGAAATTCAGAAATTCAGAAATTCAGAAATTCAAAAATCTTGAATCTCGGAAACTCGGAAATTCGGAAATTCAGAAATTCGGAAATTCAGAAATTCAGAAATTCAGAAATTCAGAAATTCAGAAATTCAGAAATTCAGAAATTCAGAAATTCCAGGAAATTCAGAAATTCAGAAATTCAGAAATTCCAGGAAATTCAGAAATTCAGAAATTCCAGGAAATTCAGAAATTCAGAAATTCAGAAATTCAGAAATTCAAAAATTCAGAAATTCAAAAATTCAGAAATTCAAAAATTCAGAAATTCAGAAATTCAGAAATTCAGAAATTCAGAAATTCCAGAAATTCCAGGAAATTTAGAAATTCAGAAATTCAGAAATTCAGAAATTCAGAAATTCAGAAATTCAGAAATTCAGAAATTCAGAAATTCAGAAATTCAGAAATTCAGAAATTCAGATATTCAGATATTCAGAAATTCAGAAATTCAAAATTCAGAAATTCCAGAAATTCCAGGAAATTTAGAAATTCCAGAAATTCCAGGAAATTCAGAAATTCAGAAATTCAGAAATTCAGAAATTCAGAAATTCAGAAATTCCAGGAAATTCAGAAATTCAGAAATTCAGAAATTCAGAAATTCAGAAATTCAGAAATTCAGAAATTCAGAAATTCAGAAATTCAGAAATTCAGAAATTCAGAAATTCAGAAATTCAGAAATTCAGAAATTCAGACGTTCAGAAATTCAGAAATTCAGAAATTCAGAAATTCAGAAATTCAGAAATTCAGAAATTCAGAAATTCAGAAATTTAAAAATTCGACAATTCAGAAATTCAAAAATTCAAAAATTCAAAAATTCAGAAATTCAGAAATTCAGAAATTCAGACGTTCGGAAATTCAGAAATTCAGAAATTCAGAAATTCAGAAATTCAGAAATTCAGAAATTCAGAAATTCGGAAATTCAGAAATTCAGAAATTCAGAAATTCAGAAATTCAGAAATTCAGAAATTCAGAAATTCAGAAACTCGGAAATTCAAAAAAACGTTTTCCGGAAAAAAAATCAACTTCATGTAGATAACTTCCATGAGAAAAAATGATACAAATTTTTCTGTACTGATGAAGATTCAGCACATAAAACATCTGATAAGAATCTACCAATGAAGCTTCACCAATTCCAACTAAAATCAGTTTCAAATTAATGGACTCCGCACTCTGAAAATGATGGGCCAACAGCAACCCATGATGGTTTTAAACCAACAAATCCAGATTGAACTTCGACGAATTTCGCCTCAACGGCAAAATATGCTGATTCAACATATGCAAATGTTGAGCCAACTTCCTGACAAATGTTCTGAAATCCCACTTACTGATCCGAATTTAGGAATATTTCTTGCCGTGGTTCTTGATAAGCTATGGGAAAGGAAAATTCCGTTTGATAGTGTTAAAGAATTGGGATCGTATATTAGCAAATGCGGATCAAAACAGAGAGAGTTTTTGGAAATGCAATGCGAGCAATGTATGTTACTGAAGGAAAATTTTAGTGAAATGTGCCTATTATCTCAGATATGACAACCAAATCGTACAAAAATAATATTGCCGATTCATTTGGATATGGTGTATGCTGTGAAGGTCTGAAGATGTGTACATTGGAAGCCATTGCTCAAAAATACGTGAAGAAGTTTAGTCAATATAAGACTTGCTCTGATATCCCACCCGATTTTTTCAAAGAGAAGAGAGGAAAACGTTATTATTTCCTTGCTGCTTTTGAAGTAAAAACACCATCTGATTTTATCGAAGATAAGGAATTTTTTGCTAGCAAATGTACTTTAAAAGAGAAGAAAGAAATTGAAGAGGCATGCAACAAATGTATGTTCCTAACTTTTTTAGGAGTTAATTTTCTTTTTTTTCAGTTAACGAAAATTCGGCCAAAAGCGAAGATCAAGGAGTTGTTGGTTATGATTTTTGCTGTAAAACTATGGGCCATAATTGCCGTCCGTTCTATACTCAGGTAGCATTTGATACGGTATCATTTAACCTTTCTAAACTTCCAGATCTGGTTCTTTGCTCTCTGTGGAGGTGTTGGTCTGCTTCTGATGGGTATCATTGCCGTCGTCGTCTATTTCTTCTGTTTTCGCAAGAAAAGAGGTGGAGGAAAAAGTGGCGGTAACATGAAGAGTTCAAAGAAGAGCACAAAGAAGAGCAAGAGCAAGGGTTAAGCATTATTCTGAAAATCAGCTTAAACTTCCTTACTTCATACTATGAAATAAACGATTATGTATTGTAATTACTACTTTTTGACATCTGTTTTTTTTCTAATTTAGAAATTTTTTGGTACATCTTCTTCATTTGATTTTTTGGGAGCTCATATTTCCCACCCCAAATTTTATTTTGCAAATTATGTAGTGCCTAGTGCATAATTATCATAGTTTACACATTCTGTGCAATAGAGCGCGTTTGTACTATATGTATTTTTCATTTTACAGTTCTTTTATACCGAGGGAATATTTTTTTTTTGAAAAAAAATCATCGTGATACTTTATCAACCACAAAAAGGATGTAGTTCAAAAATTAAGAACTCATTCTGAAAATTCATGCTTGCCACGCCTTCGGCGCTTCAAACAGCTGGAAATAACCTTTTTCTTCTACTGTTCGTCGCTTCGCGACTCACTTTTTTTAAAGGTCACGTGAATCTATATTTTATTTTCCAGCTTTTCAAAATTTGCGGACAGAGCCAGAGAGATAGAGAGAGAGAGACAGAGAGACGCAACATCATTTATTTATTATCAGAATGATGATAAGAATGATGATAAGAATGATGATAAGAATGATTTTTTGAAAGGACACAGCATTTTCTTTTTTTTTAGTTCATGGATTAAAAATGACGCGAACTTTCCAAACAACCTAATAAATCGCAGGTTTTGAAACAAATTTTTTATTCCGACAACGATCTGATAAGATCTTTGAGTCTTCATTAATTCCAACTCAATTCAGTTTCAAATTTTACTGAATCTGCTCTCAAAAAAAGATGAGTGTACGTCAAAGCTCAGCGCCTTCTACAGAATTGCAAGTAAAACAAGTTTCCGTTTTAGCTAATTTTACGGAATGTCCTCTCAGTTAATGCTGGGAATAGTGGCTGGAGTACAGCGAGGCTCCGTTGAAGACTGCTCTGATATCCAAGTTGATAACCCGAGCGTCAAAGACTTACTTATTGGGAGTATTAATCGGCTTATGGAGAAGAAAATGAACGCAGGTGATATTCAAATCGCGAAAACGTTGGAAATCAGTTGTGGATCAGAACAAAAGGAATTTTTCGAATGGGAATGCAAAAAATGTGTGTTACTTTTTTACAGCATGAAATTTTAAACAGATTCCAAGTGATATTTTTCAGATATGACAACCAAGTCGTTCCAAGAGGGAACCAAGGGCACATATGGACAAGTAATCTGCTGTGACGAACTGAAATTTTGCTCTGGGCCTTTTTATACTCAGGTAACCTTTGGTACGGTATCATTAAGCAATTCTGAGCTTCTAGATCTGGTTCTTTGCTGTCTGTGGAGGTGTGGCTCTTCTTCTGATCGGCATCATTGGCATTGTCGTCTTTTTGTTGTGTTGTCGCAAGAAGAGAATAGGGGGAAGTAGTGGTGGCAGCATGATGAAGAATCTCAAGAATAGCACAAAGAAGAGCATGAAATAAAGAACAACAATCGATAACTGATAACTTGATATTTCTCTTTATTTTATACTGAGAAATAAACTTTGATAATCAGTAGCTCGTCTTATAAAAAGTGGAGCGCAATGCTCAAAATAAAAGCAAACTGAGAAAAAATATATAAACATATTTAAACCATGAAACGTTTAAAAAATTAAGAATGAGCAAGAAAATCATGTAAAAAATAGTCCCACTAGGAATGTAGATCAAAGTTTGGCTTTTTTATCTGTACTGAAAATAATCTATCAGTTGAATACGGCCTCAGATTAAACGTTTCTCGGTTTTGATGGTTTTTTTTTCATACAGGTTATGATTGACATATTTTTTAAACGTTAAACTTTTCAAACTGTTTTTTTTTAGTTTTGATAAAAATCTATTGATAAGATCTTTGGGTTTTTATCAATTCCAACTCAAATCAGTTTCAAACTTTACTGAATCTCCTCTCAAAGAATGGGACAATTAAAGGATTACGTTGATAAAATTGGGGGCTGCTCCGGTATCCCAACTGATAACCCGTATGCCCAGGGAGGAGTTGGTGGATTTTTAAATTTTTTGATGGATAGGAAAATAGAGATGGATGATATTCAAACCGTCAAAACGTTTGATATCAGTTGCGACTTGCGACTTGCGAGTCAGAACAGAAAGAATTGATTAAAGCGGAATGCGATAACTGTATAGTTTGAATGAAAAAGATATCAAAAAGTGATCAACTCGTGAAATCTTATTGATAATTTGATAATAATCTTATTAGTGAACACATTTTTGATATCTTCCACAGGAACCGAGATAAATAAGCTAAAAGTTGAAAGCTAACAGGCGGCGCTCGGGCTAATTTACAAGTCCCCTTCCACGAATTCGATACTGTTAAGAAACTGAATAATTGCTTTAAATTCAGAGGGAATTTCTGAATTCAAATTTTTCTGACATCTCTAGAATCCATGTTTTATCGCAAAAACAATTTTTTTGGAAGAAAAAACAAAAAAACATGTTCAGCTTATCATAATTTATTGAAGGTTTCAAGATTAGAATATTATATTAGGCAAGTTGTTGAAAGAAAGTTATCAATCAAAATAAACAGATCAAAATAGAAAGTACACAAGAGACATATACAAATTCGGGAATTGCAAATTAGAAACAAATAAACAAAATATACAAATTAGAGGAAAATCAAACTACAGTAAGCTCCAGAATACCATCATTACCCTGAATGGGAACAAATGAGCATCCAGAGAACAAATGGGGATTATTAGTTAAATAAGTTCTCACTACAGGAAACCCATTGGCGGAATGGTTCCCACGCCCGACCTCCAGCCACGCCTTCTTGGTTCCACTACTCCTCACCTGGTGGATAATGTCATGTACGTAGGACACTGCTCCCATAGTGGTCATACCATGGAAATCATGGTAGTCCGGACCATTGGGGTGTCCCACGTTGAAGCTCCGGATCTTCATGTTGATAGCCACCTCCAGCTGGAACTGCTGTGGTGGAGCCAGAGATTTTTGAGCCTGAAAGAATGGATGAATTGAAACTTGTTCTTTTTTGTCTTAAACCTAGCTAACTATCAAAACTATAAGCTTAAAACTTACATGAAGCACTTGCACCTCTTTCTGATGCTGCTCCTTTGCTGCCTTGAACTCCGGTGTGTCCGCCATGCAGAACTTATAGAGCAGGCCATCGGATGGGTGGATGTACTGGCATGCAAGCCTGTACGGGCAGTCCCCAGAACCCCCAGGAGCATAGTTTCGACAGAGAACTGTCTTATAGCTTCTGCTCTGAAGGTCTGGTGACGTGGAGCCACTGGAGCGCAGCTCCTCCACCCCATGGGCAAACCGGCACCTCTCTCCATGAGGGCACGTGGTCCGGCGGCCCATGTAGAGCTGGCACAGGCGAGTTTTGAAATTGCTCTGGCCCTGTGTGCTCTGTTCCGCTCCATTCTGCCATCCTTGGTTTTCCTGATCCTCCTCGTAACACTGCATGGGCTGGAAAGCTTCCCAGCTAGTGTAGAGGGATTGGGCAGGAACTAGGTAGGGCCTGGAAAAAATTTGAATTTTAGAAATTTTAGCTTAAAATAAAGTCCAGAAATTTTTAACCGTTTTGCGCCAAAAACCACTTCTCAAGCCTTTCTAGAAGCCGAGATATAGCCATTTGAAGTTTAGGGTGCTAGAGACGCAGAGAGCGAGACACTCTAACTGTCTGCGTATCTCAAAGTTTTTGTAGTAGAAAGTCCAGAAAATTAGAAACATTTTGTGCCAAAAATCCCTTTTCTAGCTATCCTAGGAACCGAGATATGGCTATTTGAAGTTTAGAAGGCTAGAGAGGCAGACGGCGAGACGCTCTAACTATCTGCGTCTCTTCAAAACTTTAAATGATCGTGTCTCGGCTCCTAGGGTAGCTAGAAAAGTGATTCTTTTTGCAAAATGTTTCAATTTCTAGACTTTTTTCACTAGAATTTTGAGAGACGCGGACAGTCAGAGTGTCTCGCTGTCTGCGTCTCTAGCCTCCTAAAATTCAAATAGCCGTATCTTGGCTCCCAGGATAGCTAGAAAAGTGATTTTTGGTGGAATTTATTTCAACTTTTCCAGATTTCTTCCTAATAATTTAACATTTTCCAAATTTAGAATAGAAACTTACTGGAATGGCATTGGAGCGTATCCAGGTTGGACGGGAGCGAAGACAGCGGCTCCATAGAAGAATCCTTGGTTGCAGATCATGATGTTGAATCTGAAAAAAAAACATTGAATTAAAAATAGATTACTGTAGAAAAAAGGGAATTTTCAAAATCAAGAACTACTGTAGAAAATGCGAATCCTCAAAAAGATTACTGTAGAGAAAAGCAAATTGCTAAAAATCAACGATTACTGTAGGAAAATCAAAAGTCTCAAAATTAAGGATTACTGTGGAAAAAGCCGAATTCTCAAAAATCAAGGATTACTGTAGGCACATTCAAATTCACAAAATCAAGGATTACTGTGGAAGATCAGGGATTACTGTAGAAAAACCCGAAAACGTTAAAATCAAGGGATAATGTAGAAAAATCATAATTCTCAAAAACCAAGGACTTCTGTAGAAAAATCCGAAGTCACAAAATTCGAGGATTACTGTAGGAAAATCGAAATTCTCAAAATTAAGGATTATTGTAAAAAAGCCGAATATCCAAGAGTCAAGGGTTACTGTGGAAAAATCAAAGCTCTCAAAATTGAGGATTACTGTAGAAGTATCCAAATTCCCAAAAATCAAGGATTACTGGACAAAAATTCTAATTTTCGAAAAATCAAGACTACTGTAGAAAAACTAAAAAAAAGGTTACTGTAGAAGAACTCAATAACAAGGGCTACTCTAAATAGATTCAAATTCTCAAAAATCAAGGATTACCGTAAAAATCCGAAATTATGGACTACTGTAGAAAAATCCAAATCTTCGAAATAAAAAGTTACTGTAGACAAATCCAATTTCTTAAAAATCAAGGATTACTGTAGAAAAGTTCAAAATCTCAAAACTAGAGGATTACTGTAGAAAAATGCTAATTCCCAATTGAAGATTACTGTAGAAGAATCCAAATTATCAACATCAAGGATTACCGTAGAAAAAACAAAATTCTTTAAAATCAAGGACTACGGTAGGAAAATGAAAATTCGCAAAAATCAAGGAGTACTGTAGAAAAATCTGAATTCTCGTAAAATGATTAGAATACAGTAGAAAAATCAAAATCTAGGATTACTGTAAAAGGATCTAAATTCTCAAAATCAAGGATTACTTTAGAAAATAGAAGTTCTCAAATTTAAGGACTACTGTAGAACATTCCAGCTTTTCAAAAAAAAGTTTCATAATGAAACATTCGAAAAATAGTGAAAAATTGAATTGATCTTTTAAGGACCATAGTGAGAAAAAGCGACCAAAACAAACGAATGAAATAGACGTCTTCGGATTCTGACGAAACGATCGATGGGCGGATCCAAAAGGTAGAGTTAATTACAGTACCTGTCAATTTTGTTGAGTCCCATGAGTACATCCGGTCCTTCCTTTATTATCCTACAGAGATCTTGGTGAACTGAAGACAGTATTTCGTTAATTATAGCGCCACCTGCCGATTTTCCGCGTTTCCAAAGGGACCAACTTTCCTGGAAGGCATTTTATGGCCGAAAAATGGGACCATGTCAATTTGGAGCAAACCGAAGGGGTGAAGACAAACATTGACAGGAGGCGGGTGTCCCATAATGGGCGGGGCGAGAATCGAACATGATGAAGGAAGTATAAAAAATCACAAATTATCCTTTCATTTCGATTCTTGGGACATTTTCTGGCTTTAAAATTTGCATTTGACATTAGTTTTTACCCGAGTTTTTCAATATTTTATATCAGCGCCGTCACACACCATATTCCATCTAATAGAAGCCCACTCAAGCCGTCAATTTTGAGCTCATATATCTCATTTCCTGTAAGAGATATATCAAAGTGGTCTACTAACAAAATATTCATCAGAGTTGCGAAAATATTTCATCAGTTAACTATATTTTAATATCTTTCGCAAGAATCGAGATAATCAAGCTCAAAGATGGCAGTGTGGGTGGGTTTCTATGAGAGGAAATACGGCAATTTTTGCACTTTTTTGAAAGCTTTTCTCAGAAACTAAGATAGATATATTTCGACGAAATTCCCACTTTCTTCGATTCTCAATATTTCAAGATTTTTTTTCTGAACTCTTTTTTTCAGATTCCCAGCTCACCAAAAATGTCCGGCTTCATCCAGATGGCGTTCTATCCAGGCTTTGATGTTTCTCCAGTTCCTCAAATGTGAGTTTTTAAAGCCATCTGTATCTTGGTCCTGTGAAAGATATCAAAAAGTTGTTCACTGACAACATTTTGCTGATATTATGATAAACATTTTATCAGTTGGCCACTATTTGATACCTCTTACAGTAACCTAGATAAGTTGGGTTGAAGTTGACAATTTGGGGGGGGGCGTTCAAAGGAGCAATTTTAAATCCCTAAAAAGTATTCCAAAATTTTCCAATTTGTCTGAACATTTCAGAGAATACTAAACAAAAGTAGAGCTTTAGTTTTGTAGTTGACAATTTTTTTCTAGATTTTTTA